AAATGGTGATTACGATTGGGGACATCGCGGTGAAGGCAATTGTGGATACAGGCTCCCAGGTGACGACAATTACGGAACAATTTTACACCAAATGGATGAAAGGAAAAGACCATAGGTTAAGGTCTGACACAAGCATGCGCCTGACGGCAGCTAATGGATTAACCATTCCATACTGTGGTTATTTTCTGGCGGATGTCGTGGTAGCGGGACAGAGGTTGAAGCAGGTTGGGGTGTTCGTGACGAAACACAACCTAGAGACAAATGTGTCAAAGATACCTTGCCTGTTGGGCATGAATATTCTTGACCAGTTGCCAGAATTTCTTACAAATATTGTCGGATCGACCACACCAGGTCGGGGATCCAAGTTGGCCAGGTTTGCCAAGACCAGGGGAAGGACATCAGTCCCGGCAAACACGGTCAAGGCAATCACATTACAAATTGGTGATAGAAGCGTGAATGGTGATGTGATGATAGAACCATGTGGCGCCGCACTGAGGGCAGGCGTCGTGTTACTGAGGACATACACATCAGCGGAAAATGGACTAGTTCAAGGATTAGTGGCAAATGTATTGGACGAGGAAATTTTTATACCACCTAACACTCTGGTAGGAGTACCACAGAACGTCGAGGTACAAAGGTCGGCACGGTGCATCGAACTGATCAATACCAGCAGTAATGAAGTAACAATTAGGTCGGTCAATGTGACGGCCGAGGTGAAGAAAGAGGATGGCCGATCATATACATTCCCGGAAACTGAGGACCCAAAATTAAATGAATTACTGAATAAGTACAGGGATATATTTGCCTCGTACGAGGGTGATTTGGGGTACACGGAAGTAATAAAACACCAGATACCCTTACTACAAGACAAGCCTGTGGCGCAACCCTATCGAAGATTACCACCAAGTCACTACTCTGCGGTGAAAGCACACCTGAACGATCTACTAAAAAAGGGAATTATTACAACCAGCACGAGCCCGTATGCGGCACCGATAGTAGTGGTAAAAAAGAAGTCAGGGGAGATAAGACTGTGTTGTGATTACCGGAAATTGAACAATATCACAAGAAGGGATGCATTCCCCTTGCCTCGTATTGATGAATGTCTTGATGCGTTGGGGGGAGCAAGATTTTTTTCTACCTTGGATTTGGCTAGCGGCTACCACCAAGTGGCCATGCACCCCAACGATCAACATAAGACTGCATTTACTTCTCCACTAGGACTGTACGAGTGGACCCGTATGCCGTTTGGTCTAACTAATGCGCCTGCTACATTCCAGCGAGTAATGCAGAGTGCTATGAGTGACTTTCTATTTCAAATAATGTTGGTGTACTTGGATGATATACTAGTTTACTCAAAAACTTGGGAGGACCATCTAGAAAGATTAGAACAAGTGTTTCTCCGTCTTAGAGACATAGGAGTAAAGCTGAACCCAGACAAATGCTGCTTCGGTCTGAAATCGGTACGTTTTTTGGGTTATGTGATTTCGTCGGATGGCATCGCCACTGACCCAGATAAAATTGCAGCTGTTAAAGAATGGAAACAGCCAACAACCACAGTAGAGGTCAGATCATTCTTGGGCTTTGCTTCCTATTATAGAAAATTTGTACCTGGTTTTGCAAAAATTGCCGCACCGTTGCATGACTTGGTAAACAAAATGACAAAGAAACACAGTAAGGAGAAAAAGAAAGGCAAAACACAACTGATAGGTGAATTATGGACTGAGGAATGCCTGAACTCGTTTAAGCTACTGAAAAAGGCTTTGACAGAGGCGCCGATATTAGGATACGCAGACTTTGACAAGCCATTTCGGCTAGAAATTGACGCCAGCTCTAAAGGTCTGGGAGCTGTGCTATCACAACAACAAGAGCAAAGTTTCAGGGTTATTGCGTATGCCAGTCGAGCTCTGAAGGAATCAGAGAAGAACATGACAAATTACAGCGCCATGAAACTAGAACTTTTGACATTAAAATGGGCTGTGACTGAAAAATTCAGGGACTATCTATTAGGTGCTAAATGTGTGGTATACACTGACAATAACCCCCTCAGTCACCTAAAGACAGCAAAGTTGGGATCCATCGAACAGCGATGGGCAGCAGAATTGGCACTCTTTGACCTGGAGATAAAATATCGCCCGGGGCGGTCCAATGGCAATGCGGACGCCTTATCAAGGAATCCTTACGAGAGACCGGGCGATGAGGAAGAAACGCTGACAGGAATATGTGAGGTCAGAGCGTCAACAGATATCCCTCACGGGGTGCAAGTGATGCAAAACGGGCAGACCGGGGTGGAGCACATATCCACAGAGCCCGGACATATGGACATTAGTGATTTTAATTGCCTTAATCACAAAGAGATAAGAGATGCCCAGAGAACGGATAGTGGCTTACAGCCGCTGTTGAAACACGTCCAGGAACAAAAATTCCCAAGAAGAAGGGAAAGAGAACAGTTTGGTCGGGAAACAAAGAAACTACTGAGTCAGTGGGACCGTCTCAGTATAAAGGATGGTGTTCTCATGCGGAGAATTCATGACCAAATAGATGGGACAATACACCAGGTGGTGGTGCCTGGACAGTTACGAGAAGAAGTGCTAAGGTTGGCACATGACAGGGCAGGACACCAGGGTCAGGACAGGACGCACAAAATATTACGACGGAGGTGTTACTGGCCCAATATGGAGATGGAGGTCAAACGCCATTGTGAGGCTTGTGTGAGGTGTCAGCATGCGAAAATGCCAGTTGTTAAAATGAGACAGCCATCAGGACACCTACTGGCGACAAAACCACTAGAGATTGTGGCTATGGACTTTACGTCGTTGGAGAAATCATCGGATGGGACGGAACATGTGTTGGTAATGACTGATGTATTCACCAAATGGACTGTTGCGGTGCCCACACGAGATCAGATGGCTAAAACAGTGGCAAAGGTCTTAATAGAACATTGGTTCACCAAATATGGCATACCAATACAATTACACTCTGACCAAGGAAGGGCCTTCGAGTCAGAAGTAATTAACCAACTGTGCAGCCACTACGGGATCAACAAATCTAGAACAACCACATTTAATCCGAAAGGAAACGGACAGTGCGAGCGGTTCAACCGCAGCATGCATGATTTGCTGCGTACTCTAGAACCTGAACAGAAAAAACGTTGGCCTGATTTTCTCCCAGAGTTGGTATATCTATACAACTGCACCCCCCATGCCACAACCGGCTTTTCGCCACATATGTTACTGTTCGGACGGGAGGCTCGACTCCCTCTTGACTTGTTCCTAGGAAAAAAGGAGAGTATGACTGGCTCATACACCGCACTGGAATATGTGAATGAACATATGAGACGAATTAGAGAAATGTACAGGGTAGTACAGGAAAGACTAGAACATGAAGCACGGCGAAGGGAACCGCCGGTACAGACAAAGGACCCGCCACTCAAACTGAACGACAGGGTATTACTGCGTAGCCACCCGTTAGGCAGAAACAAAATCCACGACCTCTGGGGACAGGAGATATGGCAAGTCGTGGAGATGCCTAAAGTAGCCGGTGGCCCCTTTAAGATAAGACCCACCAATCACACCAAACCGGATCGGTGGGCGAATATTGCTCAATTAAAGAAATATTGGCATCGGCAAGAGGAGCATTTACACACAAAGAAACCTAAGACAATTAGGGAACCGGAAACTACAACGGAAATTCTCATACCCATCCCGGAACCATGTCACCATCAACAGAACAACAGCGATACACATGTGGAGGATAACGGCAACAATGAGAATCCCGATCCTCCCAGAAGCAGAGAGACAGTAGACCATCAGATAAGTGGTCCGCGGAGAAGTTTGAGAAACAGAAAGAATACGAAATTTTTCTTCAGCAACCATCAATTCTTTCATGGTCGCGCTGGTATGAGAACAGACTGTTCAAAAAGTTATAAAAGTGAACTGGTGAAGGCACCAAACGAAAAAAGGTGGATGTGAATTCTAGAACTGCCTTGTGTCTGAGGAATATGATGTAGACACATTTGATATGTGAAATAGGGATAACTGTCAATCTTTTACGAATGTGACGACATTGACAGTGAATGGAACAATAAATTTTTTTACGATGGTGCGATTGACATTTAAGAAGTGCACCTACCAAGCGTTGTTTGTGGTTGAAAACACACAAAAAAAAGGCGGCGGTGGATGTAACTAGGTGTAGTTACCAGAGACGATAACAACGCAATAGTGCAGGTGTTAGGCTGATAACGATCACAAAGCCGCTGCGCAGTTCACAGGCTGACGTAACAGTGCAGATGGCTTATTAATCGGACTGTATGACAGAAGCGGCGTAATTAACATTCTGATGCAACGATTAGAATACGAGTACGAATACGAGTACGAATCCGATTACGAATCCGATTACGAATACGAAGGGAGATATAGGAAGGCGACGGCTGAGAACGAGTCAGTCAGTCAGTCAGTCAGTCAAGGAGTAGAAGTGTGGCAGTATCAAGTTGGTTGCTGAACGTTGTAGACGTATTGTGTTAATAGGGACGATAGACATGTGCATTCGGTTATGTGAAGACTAGTGAGGACGGTCGGGGGTCAGTTGATTCATTATATTATTGTGAAGCATTTTTTTTTTATTCATGTAATAAAAGGATCAATGGTAAACCTGCATCTTCGAGTATCTATATTGTGGTCGATGTTGTGTAGACTGAGTAAATACACTCGTTAACATTTGGCACTACAAGCAAATAGACTGGTTACATTTGGCGTTGTCGAGCAGAAGATGCAACTAGACTCGGTTACATATATATATATATATATATATATATATATATATATATATATATATATATATATATATATATATATATATATATATATATATATATATATATATATATATATATATATATATTATGTTCTAACAAAAGTTTAAATTAAAAATACTTTTAAAAACAATATTATATTTTTTTCTTTTAAAAAAATAATAACAAAAACAACACATTGTTGTGTTATCGTATTTCCAAGATTATTTCAGATTTATTTCAGGTTTCCACTTCATTTGTGCCATAAATCAATTATTTTTTCTGCAACTTCTAACTTTAAGCCTGGGTTAGTGTGGTGAAGTCCTGCTTCATGTGGCGTCACTGTGTGGCTGGCCAATCCACATGTAGTGTGGCTGGCTTAGGGCCACATGTGGAGTTGTAGATCTGTGTCTCAGACAGCATGTAGGGCGGCAGTCTGGAAGGAAAAATAGCACGTTCAAACACGCAGGTAATAATGACTGATCACACGTTCAGACACGCAGGTCATGGTGACTGCTCAAACTCAAGACACGCAGGTCATGATGACCGCTCACACGTTCAGACAAGCAGGTCATGATGACCGCTCACACGTTCAGACACGTAGATCATGATGACTGCTCACACGTTCAGACACGTAGGTCATGATGACCGCTCACACGTTCAGACGCGCAGGTCATGATGACCGCTCACACGTTCAGACACGCAGGTCATGATAACCGCTCAAACGTTCAGACACTCAGGTCATGATGACCGCTCACACGTTCAGACACGCAGGTCATAATGACCACTCACACGTTCAGACACGCAGGTCATATTGACTGCTCACACGTTCAAACACGCAGGTCATGATGACTGCTCACAGACACGCAGGTCATGATGACTGCTCACAGACACGCAGGTCATGATGACCTCTCACACGCTCAGACACGCAGGTCATGATGACTGCTCACTGAGGTGATACAGCAGTACCTTCTTCAACAAAGAGACTAGTTTCTTTACTGGTGAGCGGACCGTATGATGTCCGCGAATCCACCCAGTCAGTTTCTCTTTAATAATTATTTTGGCTTCTCCCTTCCTTTCCCCCCCCCCCCCCTGCAAACCATTGTATAAAATTGAAAAAATGTTACATATATGTACAAAACATATACATACACCACTGTCCACCCTGGCTGCCCAGAAGTAGAAATTGCTCCACCGGAAATATATATATATATATATATATATATATATATATATATATATATATATATATATATATATATATATACAGTATTTGAATAGAAACACAGAATTATCCCACCTGGTATCACCTGAACCATTTGACCTCCACGATCTTGAAAGACTCCCCAACAACAACCTACCTAAGTTCAGCTCTGTACATCTGGAACAGGACCGGGGCGGTTCCGTTCCTGGCTCTAGTCGGTGAGGTGGATGAGAAGACCAGGGAATGACAGGTCAGAACCACGACGTACTGGGGAATACCCTGGGGAATACACGCCAACAGGCGGGGTTCAGCATGGTCCAAAGACTTCAATAAAATTTAAAATCTTAATTTTAAAGTACTTACAGCTAACAAATATTTTGATATAACTGAGTTTATTAATTAGAATTATACTTAAAAGTTAACAAGTTTGAAATATGGTTGTTTACACATTCGACTAAACACAAAATGTAGTCTTGATATGTGTATTGTGGATAGAGCTTAACTGAAGCAGTAGCTGTATCTTCCTTGTTTATAAATAAAAAGGGTTTTAACGAAACAGTAACTTGGGTATTTTTAGCCCTTTTTTATAATTGAAAATTGATTTGTTAAGGTTGCTTCTAGGTACACTCTGGTCGTAGATTTTACATCATGTTACAACACAGAATGATACACTTACAATTAGTTAAACTCTGGCCTAACATCCTTACATTGGTTTACTTAAGTAACACACAGGCCTTACATCCTTACATTTTCTCTCATCAAATTACACTCCGGCTACTCACTCTTTCATTTTCTCTCATCAGATTACACTCCGGCTACACTCTTACATTTTCTCTCATCAGATTACACTCTGGCTACACTCTTACATTTTCTCTCATCAGATTACACTCAGGCTACTCACTCTTTCATTTTCTCTCATCAGATTACACTCCGACCACACACTTACATTTTCTCTCATCAGATTACACTCCGGCCACACTCTTACATTTTCTCTCATCAGATTACACTCCGGCTACACTCTTACATTTTCTCTCATCAGATTACACTCCGGCCACACTCTTACATTTTCTCTCATCAGATTACACTCCGGACACACACTCTTACATTTTCTCTCATCAGATTACACTCCGGCCACACTCTTACATTTTCTCTCATCAGATTACACTCCGGCCACACTCTTACATTTTCTCTCATCAGATTACACTCCGGCCACACTCTTACATTTTCTCTCATCAGATTACACTCCGGCCACACTCTTACATTTTCTCTCATCAGATTACACTCCGGCCACACTCTTACATTTTCTATCATCAGATTACACTCCGGCCACACTGTTACATTTTCTCTCATCAGATTACACTCCGGCCACACACTCTTACATTTTCTCTCATCAGATTACACTCCCACCACACTCTTACATCTTCTCTCATCAGATTACACTCCGGCCAGGTCCCGACAAAGACATTTTCCTCAATCTCCTCATAGATAGCCTCACACTCTGGTCTGGTCTGGAGGTCATTCAACTTGATCAGGTTCACGCGGTCATCTTCAACACTTCCGGTTCTGTAACGCAGATACAAACATTAGATTACTAAGACGTGAGGTTACATCTTCACTACACGGAGTCACTGACTTAAGGTTACATAGACTGTATATAAATTTACTGATTTGAGGTTACATAAAAATTATACGGAGTCACTGACTTAAGATTACATAAACATACGGGGTCACTAACTTGAGGTTACATAAACATTATAAGGAATCTCTAAATATAGATTACATAGACTGTATATGGAGTCACTGACTTGAAGTTAAATAAACATTTTACGGAGTCAGTGGCGTAGTGAGGTCGGGTGTTACCCGGTGCGGCACTTAATGGTGTCACCCCCAGATGCGTATCGACCGTTCCGGGGACAAACTTACAATTTTTTATTTGAACCCCCCCCCCCCCTCCCCCCCCCTCAAGCTTTCGATTTGCACACTCCACCTCAAACTTTCAATTTGCACCTCTTAAAACACTATTTAACACTCGAATTAATCACTTAATTAAGTGGAATTATCATTTTTCTCTATATATTTTGCTATTTTTTGCCTTGGTGTCACCCCCCTAATTGGTGTCAACCGGTGCTGTCCGCACCCCCCCCCCCCCTCGGCCCCCCTCGCTACGCCTCTGAGGCTACATATATATTATACGGTGTCACTAACATGAGATTAGACATCAATCGGAGTCATTAACTTGAGTATATACATACAGTATACAGAGTCATTAAGTTGAGTCTAGAGATATACTACATCGTCACTAACTTAAGGTAAACTCATTAAATGAATATCAAACAGAATCCCTTACAATGTAAAACAGAAGATAACTACCTTCTTGAAATTTACATCAAGCAGTAAATCTAGCACATTGATTTTAAACAAACAAATAATTTAATGGATGAACATCCAACAAAAAAAAACCTAGGTTATCAACAATAACTTGTACTGATTTCCTAGTTAGTTTTGTTTACAAAATGTTTTCTTTGCTACTTCATACGAGTTGTTTTTTTTTTTAAATAAACTATTTTCCGATTGTGTATACTTTTTGCCACAAAAACTCTAGGAAACTAACTATGACAGATAGGATTGTAGGGCCAATTCATTTTCTAATAATGTTTCTCACAATAAAAACGTGAATACATAGATATTTATAATATTTATACTGCGTTTCAGCACATTTGAAGTCTATAAAAGTTTATTTAACACTTCCAATACGTTGTTTACTTTTTAATGGTTTAATCAAAAATTAAAAATAAATAACATCTGACTGTATATAAAAATACTTTTCTATTTGACTAAAAATACGTACAGTACAAAAAAAATAGTCAACTTTTATATTTAAAAAAAAAAGTAGTTGGATACTGACCTATTGTAATTAACATCAATGGATACATTGTATGGCTGCATGTGGATAAATCCATAACTGTCTACACCGACGGAGACAATTTGTCGACGAACTGTGATGTTGTTTATAACTTGCTCCAGGTAGAAAGTCTTGGACTATGAGATCAGAGAAACAGAGTTTATACAATTTGAGAGCAAGATAAAAAAAAGGATTTAAATTTTAGAAATGTTTTAATAAACTAAAGAGCCAGGCGGCAATATTTTTTAAAATTTGTGAGTTTTTCGGCTAAATCAAGATAAAGAATTTGAAATACTGATAGCAGTTAAAGGATTTTTTAAATGTTATAAACATTACAGTTTTAGTAAGTTCAGGGAAAAGAAGTAATATGTTTATAAAACTTAAGGTGCTTAAAACAGTCACTTGATTATTCCGTTTAATCAAGTAATTTTAAGGACAAAGACATTTTAACGTTTCTTAAAAATTCAAGATTTTTTGTCAAAGAGAAAGAAGGTAATATTATATAATTAATTTTAATTCTCGATTTGCAAATTTACTAAACAGATTTTAGACAAATGTATTTAAATTATGTATAAATTAACCTACCTACATATAATTTTTAATTGATTTAAAAGTATTATTGCGTTAAGTAACTAGAAAAATAACGTGTACAGTTTTAAAATAACAGCGTGTGATTTTTATAAATTAAGTTTAATAAAAGTAAAAATCACATAAGTAACAAATTTTTTAGACGTCGATAATGATTAATTTTTAAATAGCTTTAAATAGAGAAATTTCTTTGAGTAAAATAGTAAAGAAAAGATTCTTTAGATCTAGAGATCCATTGGGCATATGAAGTAGAGCGCAAATGTTTCTTGACCTCAGCAAGTGAAGGGAAAATGTGGTCAGCACTTTGCCAAGTCGTGTTCACTTTCTCTAACGTGAATGTGTACACATATTAACTGGATGGACTCTGGGACCTTCTACTGAATTGAACTGTTTAGAACTCTAGACGCTCTGGTTAGCAGTGCTAGCGCTCTACCGCTAGGCCAGGTCGTTAAAATAAATGAGGCTATACAACAGGGTAGGACATAGCTAAAGCTATACAACAGGGTAGGACATAGATGTAGCTATACAACAGGGTAGGATATTGCTGAAGCTATACAACAGGGTAGGATATAGCTTAATTTTTACATCAGGGTAGGATATTGCTGTAGCTACAGAGCAGGGTAGGACCTAGCTAAAGTTTTACATCAGGGAAGGATATTGCTGAAGCTATACAACAGGGTAGGACATAGCTGAAGCTATACAACAGGGTAGGACATAGCTAAAGTTTTACATCAGGGTAGGATATTGCTGAAGCTATAAAACAGGGTAGGATATAGCTTAAGTTTTACATCAGGGTAGGATATTGCTGAAGCTATACAACAGGGTAGGACATAGCTAAAGTTTTACATCAGGGTAGGGTATTGCTGAAGCTATACAACAGGGTAAGACATAGCTAAAGTTTTACATCAGGGTAGGATATTGCTGAAGCTATACAACAGGGTAAGACATAGCTAAAGTTTTACATCAGGGTAGGATATTGCTGAAGCTATACAACAGGGTAAGACATAGCTAAAGTTTTACATCAGGGTAGGATATTGCTGAAGCTATACAACAGTGTAAGACATAGCTAAAGTTTTACATCAGGGTAGGATATTGCTGAAGCTATACAACAGGGTAAGACATATCTACAGTTTTACAACAGGATAGGTTATTGCTGAAGCTATACTACAGGGTAAGACATAGCTAAAATTTTACATCAGGGCAGAATATTGCTGAAGCTATACAACAGGGTAAGACATAGCTAAAGTTTTACATAAGGGCAGAATATTGCTGAATCTATACAACAGGGTAGAGCATAGCTAAAGTTTTACATCAGGGTAGGACATAGCTGAAGCTACACACAAAGCAGGACATAGCTAAACCTATACAACAGGGCAGGACACAAATAAAACATAACTAACAGGTTTGAGAGCCTCGATCTCGACAGGTATGCTGTAGGCTTCAATGGACCGCCTGAGCTGGATCACATCGGTGATGTTTTCTGATGGGATCTGCTTCTGGACGCTGAAGTAGCCGCTAATCAGGTGGACAAACTTGGTCAGCTTCTCGTTCGGGTCAGCTGTAAGCATTTAACTTGGTTTGATTTTATCATGAATATATCAGTAGATAACAAAACTTTTTTTTTTTAAATGTAATAAAACGTTTTATTAAAAACCTTTTAACAAAACTGTACACTTACAAAAAAATGAAAATAATTGATTTTTAAAACATTTAATTTTATAATAATGCACCATTAGTTTAAAAAGTATAAAGAGAAGCCTGGATCGCTACATTAAATACTTTATACACTTGTGTCATGTTTGCCTGTCGTCCCTACTGGGACATAGGCCGCTGACAAGAGCTTTCCAGACATCTCTGTCCAGGGCTAGTCTCTCCAACTGTCCCCAGGTGTATCCAATCTTCTTGGTGTCTTCTTCCAGGTCACGTCTCCAGGTCTTTCTTGGTCTGCCTCTCTTCCTCCTGCCTTGTGGATTCCAGGTGAGGGCCTGTCTTGTTATGCTGGATACAGGCTTCCTGAGTGTGTGGCCAATCCATTTCCATTTTCTCTGGAGGATCTCTACTTCCACTGGCAGTTGATTTGTCCGTTGCCATAGAACATCATTTCTGATGGTTTTAGGCCAGCGAATTCGCAGGATCTTTCTGAGACATGCGTTTATAAATGATTGTATTTTCTTCTTATTTATAGCAGTTATTCTCCATGTCTCAGCTCCATAGAGTAAAACAGGTTTTACTAGTGTGTTGAAGATCCGGATTTTTATTCTAAGGGTTAAATCTCCCGAACCCCAAACATTTTTTAGTTGGTTGAAGACTGCTCTTGCCTTACCCGTCCTTATTTTTATGTCTGCTTCTGTCCCACCCTGCTTATCAACAATACTTCCAAGGTAGGTGAGTCTATCCACTTCTTCTAGGGCTTCTTCTGCCAGTGTTATAGGGTTGTTGTTTGATGCATTGACTTTGAGAACTTTACTTTTCCCTCTGTGGATGTTCAGACCCAGGCTTGTAGAAAAATTTGCAACCCTGTTGGTTTTATCCTGCATTTGCTGTTGTGTGTGAGAAAGGAGGGCCAGGTCGTCAGCAAAGTCCAGGTCATCCAGCTGGCTCCACAATGTCCACTGTATACCGTTTCGCGTTTTCTCTGTTGACATCTTCATAACCCAGTCTATGGCCAGTAGGAACAGGAATGGTGAAAGTAGGCAACCCTGCCTTACTCCGGTCCGTACTGGGAAGGCCTCTGTAGTCTGTTGGCCATGCACTACTCTATATTTGAGACCTTCATATGAAGACATAATAATGTTGACTATTTTCTGTGGCACCCCGTAGTGTCTCAACAATTTCCACATTGACTGCCTATCCAGGCTATCAAAGGCCTTCTCATAGTCTATGAAATTAATATAGAGAGATGAGTTCCACTTTATACACTTACTAAAATGTAATAATCGACCCACGAGTTTTATGTTTAAATAGTGGTATGTCATAAGAAAATCATGTTTTTCTCGTTAGTATATAAATAATAGCTTGTGATTAAAAAAAAATAGTATTTAAAATAATGAAAATTCAAATGGAACGGGCATATTACAATAACAAATATGAGAGTTATTTTTTAAAGAATTAATATTATAAGTAATACAAGGCAATATGGCTAAGATATTTAACAGTTTTTACCTCAATAATATTAGTGCGAAACTATAGTTAACACGTTTATGCTATAATAGTATGTTTTATTGAATTTTTTTTTTAAATCGTAGATTAGCTAAAGTACTTAATCTTTCGGGACTTTTTAATCTAAGTATTATAGAATTTGGTCAGGCTATTGGTGCAAACTCAATTAGTGCATTGTAGGTGTATTGAACCCAAAGCAATGTTTCCAAAAGTGTACCATATATACTTACATATATATGTATATATGTATGTATGTATATATATATATATATATATATATATATATATATATATATATATATATATACATACATATATGTAGTTTAATCATAGAAAATTAAATAATTACCAGATTGACAGTGAGCTAGATGTGCTGTCAATAAGACACATGACATCAGTAGAAATGACAATGACATTTCGCCAGCCGTGAGAATTCATATACCCAATCGGATCTGTTGAAAAGTCGACTTAGCGCAGTGTAGCTGATCACAAAATGATCTTGTTTCGCCCTGATCTATAAATGCACTGCGTCGCGGGGGGGGGGGGGGGGGGGAGACCAAATTGAATATCGAATTTTCGTGAAAAACGTTACTTTAGTAAGAGGATAGGTAATGTAATAACCTTGGTGTTTAATGAGGTTGGTGTAGGTCAGCTAATTTCTGAAAAGTCCATGAGAAAAGTGAATGTCATGCTAGTGTAGAAGGTTTTAAAGCGTGGTACGGCATAGTCAGGCTCTACGTGACAATTAATCTGAATATTTTTTTTTTTTTTTTTTCGCCTCAGACACGTAATTTATAGCGTCAGTTGTGTGTTCGCTTTAGTATTACAGTTTTCATCATCGGCTTGTGAGGACTGATACAGATTTACAATAGTAATATTTCTTTCTTACTTGTAGCCTACTTTCATTCATTTAAGATGGTTTACTTATACATAGATCTAATACAAAACGTCTAACTATAAATAAAAATAAAAATTAAAAACCAACCTGGAACTGAAAATGCAAATGTGTTATTAAATGATGATTCAAGGGATTTTTTTTTTCTCGGCGTGCGTGGTGGGCTGGGGGGACGGGGGGAGGGGGGGGGGGGATTTGGGTTTTTAAGTAGAGCTGAAAAAAAAATTGGGATTACCGAGAATTAAAATTATACAAATTTTAAGCAATCGGAAAAGTTATGTTATTACAATGAGACACATCAAAGTAAACATTCTTCCCTTTCAAACATCTATATGTTTTACAATTAAACTGGATATAAACTTTCTCAAAGCAGTCGTGCCCCAACAAACAATTTATAAAAATGGTTTATGTTTGTTATACATTTTACTATCTTAAAAACTTAAAGGTATTCAAAAACAATATCAAATAAATATTTTAAAATTTTTCTTTTATTTATAATTTAATTGACACCCGCATTGTTTCAAAAATTTACTCAAATTGGTGGTTAGCCCATCAGCTTCGAAAACATCCGTCAATTCAGCTAACTCGACGTAGCGAGATTCGCAGCTAATTCTTCTTGTTACTTCCCTTTCGTTATTAAATATAATGATCTTCAATTTATTTTATTATTATTTCTAAAGTATAACTTTAATATAATAACATTTATATAAATCTTTATATTATCTATGCTTTAATATACGTTTTTATAGGTTTCCTTCAACATATAAATTCTGTTAGATATGACTGTATATTATATATGCTTCTAGATACGAACTCTTGATAGACATGCATCAAAGATTTCAGTTGGTTAGACATTGCTCAATATTATCTGTCACAGACTGTATTATTATGTATCTTTATTATATTGTGTTTTGCATGAATGAAGAGTACCTGGCTAGCGGAAGGACTGTCTGAGCTTTAATATACACATTTTGATAGACTTGCTTCAAGATTCGAATTCGTTTAGACATGGCTCTATATTATCTATTCTTTAATATACTCATTTTTATAGATTTGCTTCAATATTTGAATTCTGTGAGACATGGCTCTATATTGTATATGCTTTAATATACGAATATGGATAGATTTGTTTCAATAATCGTACACAGAACGACACGACACCATGTTTTACAATGAAGAGAGTTGATAGCCATTCATCTTGGAAAAAAACATATTTTACAATGAAGAGAGTTGATAGCCATTCACCTAAGACAAAACCATGTTTTACAATGAAGAGAGTCGATAGCCATTCACCTAAGACAAAACCATGTTTTACAACAAAAATAGTTGATAGCCATTCACCTAAGACAAAACCATGTTTTACAACAAAAATAGTTGATAGCCATTCACCTAAGACAAAACCATGTTTTACAATGAAGAGAGTTGATAGCCATTCACCTAAGACAAAACCATGTTTTACAACAAAAATAGTTGATAGCCATTCACCTAAGACAAAACCATGTTTTACAATGAAGAGAGTTGATAGCCATTCACCTAAGACAAAACCATGTTTTACAACAAAAATAGTTGATAGCCATTCACCTAAGACAAAACCATGTTTTACAATGAAGAGAGTTGATAGCCATTCACCTAAGACAAAACCATGTTTTACAATGAAGAGAGTTGATAGCCATTTACCTAAGACAAAACCATGTTTTACAATGAAGAGAGTTGATAGCCATTCACCTAAGACAAAACCATGTTTTACAATGAAGAGAGTTGATAGCCATTCACCTAAGACAAAACGATGTTTTACAATGAAGAGAGTTGATAGCCATTCACCTAAGACAAAACCATGTTTTACAATGAAGAGAGTTGATAGCCATTCACCTAAGACAAAACCATGTTTTACAATGAAGAGAGTTGATAGCCATTCACCTAAGACAAAACCATGTTTTACAATGAAATGAGTTGATAGCCATTCACTTAGGACCTTGACACGATATCATCGATTTCTCGCTTAGCTTAAGGTAAACACGATGGTTTACGTGAGACAGGTATCGATTTGTGGGCTGCACAAATTAGGCGTGTGGGTCTCCTGAAGCACTTGGGGGCGGGCAAAAGACGTGGGTGATGCGTGTTTTACTGTGACCTCTCCGTACTGAACTGTTGTGGAATATATCACAACTGTTGCTGTAAACAAGCGTTCTGCCTGTTCAAGTTGACGTGTAGATCACTAAAGTATTGTTAAGTGAAAATCTGGGGGTGGAGCGTCTTGCCCACAACTAACTAAATTGAAACATGTAGAGTATATCATGAAAATGGTCTGAACAAGATAATGAGACATCACAGAACACAGTTTGAAATATGAGCTCATTATCGTAATGTTTGTATTGCTTTTGTCAGAGGCCTGTGTCCAAGTTGAACTATTATATCTTACGTCTAGATAAAAGTACAGGCTATAGAACTACACGTTTTGTTACAAGAAAGATTATAAAGTAATCAATATCTGTGTAAAAAAATAACACATTAGTGTTGAAAATTTTATCTTTACGCTCCTTGTTACCTTTTGGCTTCACTAGTTGTGCTAATCGGACGTCGGGTAATTAGCACCGTTTTGTAAATATATTTTTAAATCTTAATTACTGTGTGTAGAAGTTAACTGTTTCAGAGTTGAAGATTTTTTTAATTATTATTTTTCTTAAGAGGTACGACACACCCACTTACCCCTAAATTGCATTAAATACACTATTGGACCTAGATTTAATACAATTATTGAAACTATATTTAATACACTATGGAACCTATCTAACTACAATACAAATACAATAACGTGTGAGTTAACACATCAACTCTATGTCCACAGGGTCGAGTCGACAATCAACTCTATTATATCCACAGGGCCTTGTTGTGTCCAAACAACTTTCACCTTCTACATGGAAAAAGAAAAATGAGTTAAATCCGGGTTCCTTGTATGTGCTTGAAAATAAATAAGACAAAACACATTATGTATTTTATGCCTTATGTACACGATTATTTATATTAAAATAAATACATTTTTAAAATTATCGTTCATCAATATAGGTTCCGTAAATATTAGTATTAAACATTTATATTACATTTAATCATGTCCCTATGATGAGGTCTTCTAAAATTGTTGCGATATTATAATTTGCTGTACCTACTTTCTAGACAATAAAACTGCAGATACTATCGGCTTTCAGTACAATGTATAGACACAGTATCTAAATGTATCATTGGACCAGTGGCGTAGCGAGGTCGGGTGTCACCCGGTGCGACACTTAATGGTGTCACCCCCCCCCCCCCCCCAGAGGTGTAGCGACCCTTCCCGGGGACAAGTTTTCGATTTGCGACCCCCCCCCACCTCAAACTTTCGATTTGCACCCCCCCTCAAGTTCTTCTCTATATATTTTGCGATTTTTTGCCTTGGTGTCACCCCCCCCCCTAAATGGTGTCACTTACCCGGTGCGGTCAGCACCCCCGCCCTCGCTACGCCTCTGCATTGGACTTAATGCGCAGTTAGCATAATTCGGCGTTCATTCAGTCGTATTAAAAACATGATAAGGGCAAACATTAGTATGTAAGGTGCAAGAATAGCTACTTTGGGAAATTCCGGAATAAATAGCACACACATTACTTGTTATATTCTTATTTTATCTCATTGTGTATTATAACCATGTAATATTTTTTCTTTATTCCACATTTTTAGTGCTATGTTACTACTATGTCGTTACTATGCAATTGCTTATTTAAATGCTGTTATTAAATTGTTGTTTTATTTGTTTATTTTAAAACGGCCAATGTGAAAAAAGGCCATGGTTACTACTATTGTTACTGTAATTGAATAAATGAAAAAAATGAATAAATAAGCCTTTGCTCTAAACACGTATACACTTATTTAATGTGGTTATTTCATTTCATATATTAGAATATTGGAGATTTCCGATTGTTTTCTAAACCTTTTGGAAAAGTTTCCGATACTAAAATATAACAGATCCAGGAAGACGGATATGGAGGTTTTATTCTTTTGTTAGGAGAACCAGATTTAAATCTCTAGTCAGCAATGACATAATATGCCGTCATTTACACCAAATCAGTCTACTAGACGACTTATCATGGAAGTAAGTCTCAACCTAATCATCTGATGTCTAATTGCTTTTCTAAGCTAATCGGTACATATAAATCAAGGTAGCGTAGACTTTCAAAGTTTGATTAGCTAAGTGTATTTATTTAAGTCTCGTTTTGACAAGAATACGGTGTTATTGATTTAGTGTTCTGATCAGCTGTTTGTATACGTTATATCGGCCAACTCTACACGTTTATAAATTTGTTTTATAAAAAATGTTAAAAGTTTTGTCTGAAGAAGTCTAAGATGAGTTCAACATTGGAATCAACTGATCAAAACTCGATGTTTAATTTCTAAGTTGTATAGGCCTACATATGTACCGTGAATGCATATGTGGATCTGGGGGAGGGGGGAGGTGACAAATGTATGGATTAAGGCATTAGCTGCCCCCTCCCTCTCCACCATTTAAAAAATTTAAATTTCTTGAAAGTTAATTAAGCGAAATGTAGGCCCATGAATAGTTAACTTCTGCTTTTGTGTAATTTCTATGCGAG